CTAAACCAACAACTTCTTTATTGTTAAATATGTCTTAAAAGCAAAATTTGCCCAAAATTTACTTATAAAATTTAGGTGTATCGATCATATAATCAGTCGATAATAAAATAAAAATTCTCAAACTACCATAAATAAATCTTTTAATGTTAATCCCAAAAATTATCGTATAGAAATGATAAAAAAAATATCATCAATATCAAGTTAAAGTACAAATGATGAAATCAAATACTATATGTAGCTTGATAAGACGAATGAATAAAAAAAGCCAAAGCCAGTTTTATAGACAAATGCTTATTACAAACCTGTTCAATATTTAATAAAGAATTAGCAAATAATAGGGTAAGAAAAAGGAGAAAAAAGGGTAATCAAATATGTGAGAAAGAGAAACATAATTGTGTCTATCTAAGAATAGTACAATATAAATATTTGGTATGTTAATACCTGTCAAAACTCATTAAATTATTTATTTTGTAGTAAAAAAATCTATCGCATTTCAAAAGATCGGTTTCATATCATTATACCTGTTAATGGTTTACTTGATTGGTTAACATTATAAAATATAAGAGATATAAATTTCTGACAAATGGTCTATCTTATTTTGTAGTTATTTCTGAAGTAAGAACATATGACAAAAAAAAAAAAAAAGAGAGAAATAAAAAAAAAAAAAAAAAAGGTAAATAATTAATTTTACAAAAAGATAAATTAAAGCTCTTGTTAATATGAAAAGCTATTATTTAATTATCAACTAACTTCACAATATTAATCTTGTTATTAAGTATATAGCATTATACAAGAATAGCACGATTATCTAAAAGAAAGACCTATTTACGAAAGATTAATATACAAAAAATAGCTAAAAACCAGCATTCAGATGAAAGTTTCAGAAACTTGTAGCAGTAATAGTAATGAATTTAATAATGAGTTTGATAATATTGAGGATGGTAATACAAAAACTTGTAGCAGTAATGGTGACAAATTTAATGACGAATTTGAGGATAGGGATATAGAAATAAGTATTGTCAGAGATGAAGATATGAATAACATTATTACAAAACTGTTACAAGCAGTTCCAGAAGTAACTACTCATCGACCACTTGTATATATTGGAAATTCTAAGAAAACAAAATGACAAAAAGACAACTACAGCAAAAAGCTGCAATTATAACATCCAAGTTAGAATCATTTTGGACACCAGTAAGTTATTAGTTAATATTTTTTTTTTGTTTTGTATGAATTAAATTAATTTAAATTGCTTTAATTTATCTTTTGTAAAAAAAAAAGTAAGTGCAGATATGAATAATAATATAATTGATTCAGATAGCAACTCTGAAAATGAATTTGAAGTTGAGATTGATAAAGGTCACAATATGTCTCCTGAAATGTTAGGTAATATTATTAAACAATTAGAAAAAAAAGTCAAAAATAATAAGCATGGTGAGGTAGAAAAGGCCTGCCTTCATACTATGTTATCTTATCTTCGTTTTGTAAAGTGTGGCTAAAAAAGAGTTAAAGCAAGTATTATTGTAGCAGAGGCAGCTAGAAAAAGTGCTTATTATACCTGTTGCATACATGCATAGGCAGTAAATTATATTCAAAATAGTACAATTTCGATTTCAAGACAGGGCAAACACCCAAAAACCTGAAGTTTCTTGTAGGACAAAGATATTTTGATACAAATTACGTCCTTTCTTTGATCAAACAAATAGAGTATAAATTTAAGTAAACTAGTAAAGCACATGAATAAAAGAGTACTTTTAAGTCTTTGCTTCAATCCATCACCAACAATGTGTATAAGAACTGCTAAAAAGTGGTTAGAGATATTTGAGTTTGAATATTCGCTAGTTAGAAAAAGATTGTATATAGACAGTTATAAGCATACAGATGTGATAGCTTATCATAAAAGATTTTTGGAGAGAATGTTAAGATATGAAATGCATATGATAGTATTTTCTGGTGAAAATATAGAACAAGAAACTTAGCCAGATTTTCATATAATTTTGGTAATATATGATAAATACACCTTCTTAGCATATGATAGAAAGCATTGGTTGTAGATGCCAAAAGAGAAGCAACCACTTCATAAAAAGGCCAAGAGCAGTTAGTTCATATAAGTAAATTTCTTACAGACGTTGGTAGACGTTTAGCATTGCATGAAGAAGATAAAATATATATTTAACTTTTAGACTTTACTTTTTTATAATTAAAAATTATAATTGAGATCTGTTTTTAGGCTATTTTTTCTAATCTTCTATCAGAAGCATGTGTTACAACTTATCCAGGTAAAGATAGCAATAAATGGTGGAACTTAGATAATCTTGTAAATCAAGTAGTAAATTATGCAATTCCAATATTTGAAGTATAATTTCCAGATGCAAAAGCTCTTTTGCATTTGATAATACAACCAATCATTGTGCATACGCTGAGGATGCACTTTTAGCAAAGAGAATAAATTTATTTTCTAGTAAAAATCAGCCAAAAATGAGGTTCATATATTATTTAAACTCTTTAAATATTTTATATAATAATATTTAACTTTAAATATTTAAAAGCACCACATATAGAGATAATATTCCACAAGATATGTGTTTTCCTGAGGATTATGATGATCCTAATTTGTATAGTAAACCAAAAGGTTTGAAAAAAGTTTTGAGTGAAAGAGGATTGTGGCGTAAGAAAATAAAATTAAAGTGTAAAGAAGGATGTGAACAAGAAAGAATTGACTGCTACACTAGAACTATAATAGCGAATTAACCAGATTTTAGAGCACAATATAGAAAAGTTGAAGAAGCTATTGTTTTAGTGGGTTATAAAGTTATTTTTTATCTGAAATTTTATTGCGAGTTAAATTATATAGAAAACTTCTGGAGATCTGCAAAGCAATATACATGAAGTCACTGTGACTACATATGGAAAGGTTTGAAGAGAACTGTGCTACAAGCTCTCAAATCAGTATCTCTTGTTAAGATTAGAAAGCATATACAGAAGGCCTTTAGATATATAGATATTTATCGTAAAGGTTTGACTAGAAAGACTGCAGAATATACTATAAAAAAATACAGATCACATTGCCAGGTTTCAGATATAATTTTAAATGAAGTTGACATGATTAATAACTAGCAGATAGTTAAAGTTTAGTATTTTTTTTGCTTGATATTATTATATTTTTACTTTTCATCTTTTTAATCATATTTAGATATGTTAACCTTATATCAATATTAAATTAGAATTGGGTTAAAAAGAACAACATAAAATATTCATTTATTATAAAAATAAAGATCAAAAATTTTTTAAATTTTTATTCGAAATTGGAGTTAAATAGTATGAATATAGGATATTCATTTATTTTCAAAATTTTGCTAAGATAGGTAAAATTATCATTCAGAATAATATATGTTATATATTAAATTTAAATTTTATTCATTTTAAATTGATGTAAGATAAAATTTCAAATAAATTTATATTTTTGGCAGTTTTATTAAAGCCGTTTTGCAAAGAATCATAGAATGTAAAATACTATCAAACTTTTAAAAATAATCAAATCTAATTTTTTAATATTTAAAAATTCATAAAATTACAATTATTTAGAGCTAAACAATTAAATTCTATTGTATAAATATATTAGGACAATATTATTAGATTAGTTGTGGAACTGCCAATTTTTTGTGACATGATAAAATTATTATTATGTACTATACAGTACAAATTGTATCATTAATTGTTAATTAGAATTAATTTTTAAAAAAATAATTGTTATGCTATAGTGCGAATGTTATTGAATAACATTTGCACAATAGTATATTTTGATCAAACATCTCTCATACTGTACCACTTATAACAATTTTTTAACTGTTTTGTTTAAAAAATTTTATTTAAAAGACTGCAAATATTTTCTGAAATGAGTGCCGCTAAGAGAAAACCCACAAATCTCATCTAATAAGATTTAATAGTTTTTCTTGGTAGCACTCAAATCATAGATATACAAGTTTTATCTTTTTTTTTTGTCAATTTTCTGCAATATTATTGGTTCCGACCTAATTTCAACCCGATTTATTTCAAAAATTAAATTTGTCCACATATAATAAGACTTGTTGATTTAAAGATTAATGCACTGTAGAACCAAGTTTATTATTTATTTTACTTTTTTCTATTCCTTAAACTGTCCAAATAAGCAGACAAATTTGCCTGCTTAAATTTTATAAATTCATGTCTGATCTATTTCTTTTAAAAATAAAAATATTTAACAATTTTTTTTTTAAATAAAAACTATGATTATATACTATTTAAAACTTCATTTTATTTGCTTAATATTTATAAAAAAT